TCCATCACTGTCGGACTCGTCTGCTGGCTGTGACACTCCGGTCTCCTCCCTGAAGGGACAGTCGGGCTACAGGGGTGACTCGGGTCACTTCCATGCGTCTTCTGCACCAGCCAACGCGTCCCCAGGCCCCGGAGAATAATGTAGCACATTGCCAGGAGTAAAAGTACAGATAGCATTGTCGTGAAGTTCCTCATACAGTACAGGTGCATCCCGAAATCAATTAACATATGAGAAAAGTTCATTTATTTCAGTAGTTCCACACATGTTTTGCACTGTATTTCTTATTTAAAAAAATAATAAACATAATGTTTGAATTGCTTGAGATTTCTGTGAAGTGGATTCATACGATATATGAGTTTGTTTTTGTTTGTTTTTTTAATGAAACTATGAAATAAGTTACATTGTCCAATTTTTCTGAGCTGCATTTGAATTTGTGTCCTGAAATCGCAGCTAATTGCTTATGGGGCAAATGCAAATAAACCCCATCATTTCCATTATTCTAGTTGTTTTTGCACATTTTGAGCTTATTAAAAAGAGGTCCAGGACTAAGATGTTTAAATTTTTTTATATATACTATATATATAAAAAAAATTTAACATATATAATATGCAGGTATATCGAAGTGGCACTGCATTGTTAAGAACACAACTTTTTAAATTTTGGGGGGGCTAAAACGGTCATTTAATTTGGAACAACTTTCAATTGTAAACTATTGACATGAATGGTGACAATGTTAGTTAGCACAACAAAGCAAGCAAATTACACGCTCCAGCACAATTTGCAGTTGTTTTTTTCTTGTATCATTAAGTTGGGGGAAGATACAAGGGGCAATTAGTTCTGTGAACTCTTATTTCTCTGTTTAAAAAAAGCAAATCATCACATGCACAAAACTTTTAATATTTTGTTGAGTTGCCCAATTGTATCACATTTTGTTGCCTGGATTTATTATTGTTATTATTATTATTATTATTATTTTGTCAGACTGCTTGGTCTCTTTTATTTCACAGAAATGTATTCAAATATTTCCATCGATGTTTTCCCAGCTTTAAAACAAGAGGAGATTGACCACCCGCCAACCCCTCCCACCGGATCCCCCTCCTCGAAAGACACAGACAACTGCAGCTGGGGCTCAAATGGCCGCTGGGCTTTGAAAGTGGCCATCTCGTGTCACGCATGCACTTCAAGTTTGCTCCAAACAAATCAGGACGTGCATGGCGACTGCACGTCAGCTGCTGTCTTTGCCGATGGTGGACCAAGACACACTCTTGTTTCTTCCCTATGACATGTCATTAAGGAAAAACACCCAAATGATGACATTTGCTTTATTTTGCCTGATTTCGTTTCATGGCATTTTGAAAGGTGATTTTGTTTCATGTGCATCACTTTCCGGGATTCTTTATTAATTTGTGCGTCCTCAAATCGCGCTGTAATTTTTTTTTTTTTTTTTTTTTTTTTTTTTTACCCAAAACAGTCTTTACAGTTGCAACAACTTCCGACTATACAAATGATTGACATTCAGGGTAACAATTCGTTTGCACAACTCAGAAAGCAGATTTGCTCTGACAGAATTTGCTGAACTGTTTTTAAATCGGGCTTCAATACAAACCGTTCTATAAATTCTTGTTTGTTTTGAAATGTGTGAAAATCATTTTTCACAACAGCCAAACGAAAAACATTTAGTTGAATTGCTCACTTTGAAATGTGATTGAAGCCTTGAAAATTTGAACGATGTCGATAAAACAACTACATTGGCATATTACGCTGCCCCGAATTTGACAGAATTACTATCGTGCCATAAAAGATTTTAAATTGTGATGTTGATAAGCATCGTGTCATTTTCTCATTTATGAAGATGGTGAATTTAGATTTTACTTTGCTATAATCAAAATAGACACAAACGTTTCAACTATTTCATTGTTTAAATAAAAGTTGGGTCTACTCAACATTTCAAGGCAACAAATTTTGATTAAAGTTCATGAAAATCGGCTTTCCAACAAATGAGAGTTTACAGAACGAATCCTTCCCTTGCATGGTCCCCCGACTTAAAAACAATTCAGCAAATTGTTTTTGGAGCATTGCTTTGTGGTGCTCGCTAACATTCAATGGCAGTCATTTATATTTATAAGATGTTCCAACTTAATTAGCTGTTTCTTCCCCCAAAATGACAAGTTGTGTGAGTAGTTTTTTTTTGTTTTTTTACAGTAGTGAATCAAAATATTCCCTGACAAAATGACCTTTTTCCGTGATTTCTTGAGCCGCACCTGCATCACAGCGTAATTGATGACGCAACGACAATTAGTAAACCTGCAGCGCGTGGTCGACAGCGAGGTCGGTACACCGGCCCATCACATTTTGTGCTCATTAACCGCAGTGAGTCACGTCGCTTCCGCTCATCCCCCCCGTTCGCAAGTGCAGAACAGAACTCGCGATGTCTCGCGGATGCGGCTGAAGAGAAGCTTGTGTTTCAGGGACAAGTGTGTGTTGCAGCTCGTAACTTTGTCCTGCTTTTCGGAGCGGCGGCGCTCGCATAATTGGCATCTGCGGCTTCTTCGGATTGGAAGCAGATGGGGTGGTGGTGGGGAAGTGGG